TTTATTGTGTATGCTTCCAGAGACAGTCCCTGCACACACACACATAAAACAACATATGACCATTAGGAAAAGGAAAAGACCAATAGCCACCCACATCACAAGGATGAATATTGCTTTAATGAGTAAAGCCAAAAAAGATTAAGGGTTTAACATAAGTAAAACACTGATGATTTCACTATTTAGAAAGCCCAGCAGGTGTTTGACAGGGATGCAGACAAAAGAATGTGCACAGAGAAGTTTGGGCCAGATCATAATGTGGTACTGATTTTGTAGTGAGACCCCCAGAATTTAGAGCGAAAAGTCTTCTACCTGCCCTGCAGTCTGGAGCCCCCAGAACTGGGGTGGGAGGAGAAGGCCGAACTTAACTTTGAAAGCTCTACCACTTTGGATGTGGCAAGAGAAAGAGGCATTTTCAAGTGGAAGGAAAAGGCAAAAGATAGCAGTTTACATTTGTGGAGAGCTTACAAAGTGTGTGGTTTACAAAATGTATCCGTCTTTGATCTGTCTTTAATTACAGAGTTCTTGTGTTCTAGGGACATCAGTGGCTGTGGGCTGGCTTTCTGGCTACAGCAAAGGGTGAAGATAGTAGAAGAAGTTAGAGGGCGAGACTCAGATGGGATGAAGTAAAACCAATGAAGGCTGAATTAGAATACAGTCCTCACGTTTGGGGGAGAGTGAAGTATCACCCGCCTTTTAGCTATCTTGCAGTCCCTCCAGCAGTATGTGAAGTTCCAGTTTCTTCATGTCCTTGACCTACACTTGTCAATGCCTGTGTGTTTTATTTTAGCCATCCTAGGTGATGTGGAGTGGATCCTCATTGTGCTTTTGATTCGCATTCTCTAATGATTAATAATGCTGAGCATCTTCATGATGCCATGAAGCCATCCCAAGGTCTATCTTCTTTGGAGAAATGTCTACTCAAATCATTTGCCCATTTTAAAATTGGTTATTGGACTTATTATTAAATTTTAAGAGCAATTTATGTATTCAGAACACCAGAACTTCATCAAATATATGAGTTGCAAATTCTCCTCCCATTCCGTGGGGATCTGAGTGGGCACAGGATAAGAAGGCTTTTCTCACTGGGCACGGTGTTGCATGCCTGTATTCCCAATGGCTTGGGAGGCTGAGGCAGAAGGATTAAAGCCAGCCTCAGTAACTTAGTGAGGCCCTAAGCAACTCAGTGAGACCCTGTCTCTAAATAAAATACAAAAAAGGGCTGAGGATGTGATTAAATGTCCCTTGGTTCAATCCCTGGTACCCCACCCCCTCAAAAAAAGAAGGTTTGTCTCAGGGTAGGGTCCTCTGTAGGGTAGTTGGGTCTTGGCCAGCCATTTAACTAGGGGAGCCCCCAATGCCAGTATCTGTAGATGTTTTGTCTTTTGATTGTCATTGTTCCCCAGAGCATCCTTGATTTCCTGCCAGGGCATGTAAGTCTGAGTACCAGGTATCTAAGGGCCAAGCTGGAGCTGAGAGGGAGCAGGGACCCCTCTCTCCATTCCGAATATGGGCTTCCCAATGCAGACTTCTCATGACTCTGTTTTCAGTACAACTTCCTCAGGTCACAGCTGGGATGTGTCTCAGAGTCCTGCTGGACTGTGCCTGTTGTTCAGCCTCTAGAGAAGACAAGCCCCTCATCCCCCAGGGGCACAGAGGAGGTCCTCATCCATATAGAATGGTGGAGGGGTGCTGGTGGGGGGGGGGCGGTCCAGATGCTCCTTTCAGTGATATCAAATCGGTTCTTTTTTTTTTCCCAGCTACATCTCTAAACCCCGCTCCCCCCATAACAGAAGTACCAGGACTCTCCGAAGGCTGAGCCTTCCTGGAGTCCTGGATACCAAGTGGCCTTTTTCTTATTAACTGCTTCTTCACATTTTCCAGTCAGCCTCGTCTCTTGTCATTTGTCTCCACTTTCTAGCTTCCAAAATTGTGTTGCCCTCCTCAGGCACTGCCATACCCTTTCCTGGCTTCTTAGTCCTTAAGGGTTTTTACCTTTTAAAAGTTCATCACTGGGGAATGAGATTGATCAAATTATGTTATGCTCACCTACAAATATGGTATAATGAGTTCACATGTTATGTATGATTTTTTGGGGGGGGTACCAGAGATTGAACTCAGGGGCACTCGACCACTGAGCCACATCCCCAGCCCTACTTTGTATTTTATTTAGAGACAGGGTCTCACTGAGTTGCTTAGTGCCTTGCAGTTGCTGAGGCTAGCTTTGAACTCATGATTCTCCTGTCTCAGCCTCCCAAGCTGCTAGGATTACAGGTGTGTGCCACCGTGCCTGGCTATTACGTATAATTTTAATGCACCAATAAAAATAAACTAAAGCTGGGCGCAGTGGTGCATCCCAGTGTCTCTGGAGGCAGAGGCAGGAGGATTGTGAGTTCGAAGCCAGCCTCAGCAACTAAGAGAGGCCCTAGGCAACTCAGCAAGACCCTGTTTCTAAATAAAAAGGTTGGGGATGTGGCTCAATGGTTGAGCACTCCTGGGTTCAATCCCTGGTACTACTACTACTACTACTACTAATAATAATAATAATATTAATAATAATAATTAGTAGTAAATAAATTTTAAAAAGAAAAAGAGGATTAAAAGAGGATGCTGGGGGGCTGGGGTTGTGGCTCAGGGGTAGAGCACTTGCCTAGCATGTGCGAGGCCCTGGGTTCAATCCTCAGCACCACATTAAAAAAATAAATAAACAAAATAAAGGTATTGTGTTCAACTACAACTAAAAAATAAATGTTTAAAAAAAAATAAAAGAGGAAATTGGGCATGGTAGCACATACCTGTAATCCCAGTGGCTTGGGAGGCTGAGGCAGGGGAATTGCTAGTTCAAAGCCAGCCTCAGCAACTTAGTGAGGTGTTAAACAACTCAGTGAGACCCTGTCTCTAAAATAAAATATAAAAAACGGCTGGGAGTGTGGCTCAGTGGTTAAGTGCCCCTGAATTCAGTCCCCAGTACCTAAAAAAATTGTCTACTCTCATTTCAGAGAGGTTTAATGGGAGAGAAGACATAAACACTTTGTTTAATCTTTGTTTCACTTAAACAACATATTCCATGTTTTTAAATAGTGGAGCGGGCAGGAGTGGGTTGCAATAGCAAAAAAGACATTCAGAGAAGACAAAAGTAGGTGCTTAAAAGAACTTAGAGAAAAGGGGCTCCAGGCTGGGCCTCCAGGAGTGACCTTTACAACATTGTAGAGAGACTTCTTGGGAAGTTTGGAGTCTGAGCCATACGCAATCAGGAGACTGGGGACAGACAGCAGCTCTGCCCCAACACAGCCTAAACTCAGAGATGGGGATCAAAGCCTCACAAAGCCTGCTGCATCCTCATCAGCAGGCAGATGCCTGGAGCAACACTACCTCTCAGCCACTCAACTCAGTTCTGAATGCAAGTCCTGTGGGAGGACATCTCATTGGTGTAACTCAAAGCACTGGCTGTAAGGGATCATGGGAAAATATTGTTGAGCTTCCCAGCCTGCACCTTGTGAGGAAGAAAGAGGGAACCAGAAGGCAGTAAGAGCGGTATCAAGTCCACTGACCTGTGTATCCACCAGGAAAGGTAGGGGTAGCTCAGTGGCTGAATGAGCGCCTGACCAGCAAGCATAAGCCTCTGGGTTCAAGCCCCAGCACTGGAGGAAAAAAAAAAATCTAGGAATTTTTTTTTTCTTTAAGCTGGACAATGGAATTCACTCCACCATCTTTCTCACCTCTTCTACTTTCCTTCCTCCTAGCCTCCGTGATTAATTTTTTACTTTTATAATTTTTTGGTACCGGGGATTGAACCCAGGAGCCCTTAACCATTAAGCCACATCTCCAGCCTTTTTTTTTTTTCTTTGTATTTTTCATTTAGAAACAGGGTCTCACTGAGTTGCTTAGGGCCTCACTAAGTTGCTGAGGCTGGCCTCCCAACTTGCGACCCTCCTGCCTCAGCCTCCTGACCCGCTAGTATTACAGATGTGTAACTACCATGCCTGGCTCTGGGATTAATTCCTAAAAGCATCCCCTCCTTGCCTCACCTCAGAGGTCAGCAAACATTTTGTATAAATGGTCACAGGGTAATTGTTTTAGGCTTTCCGAGTCACATGGTCTCTGTCACAGCTATTCATTTTGTCGTTGCAGGGCAAAAGTGGACATAGACAATATACAAACAAATGAGGTGAGTCCAGTCATACTTCATTTACAAAAACAAGTGGCCGTGGCCGGATTTGGCCTGCAGCTGTCCTCTGTCTTTGCTTTTACTGCCCATGAACTCAGCAAGTACTTAATGAGCATCTACTGTGTGCCAGGCCCTGCTGATCACCCCTACGCCCCAACTTTTCTGCCTAACTCACACTGGTACTGGCAGCCCAACCAGGGAGCTGCCTGGGTCCCCACTGGCAGGATTATATGCCCACCCATCCACTCACCCACATAAGAAATAAGGGATCAATGTAAAAAAGAAAAGTGAATTTTATGCACTTTGATCAAACTGGAGAGGAGCAGCTACTAGATTGTGTCTCCTGTGTCCCTTCAGGAGTAGTTACAATTCACAGAAACAAAGGCCAGGTGACTACGTGTGTAGATTTCGCTAGGCTGTACTAGCCAGAGAATATGTTTTAACTTTCTTGGTGACTGTCCTTAGCTGGAGGAACTTTGGGAAATATGTTTCAACACCACCCCTATTTAATAGTCAGTTTGGGAGCTGGGGGTGTGGCTCAGGGGTGGAGGGCTTGCCTAGCATTTGCAAGGCCCCCCCGTTTTAATCCTCAGCACTGCAAAAACAAAACAAAAACCTCTTTGGAAGCTGAGAAAGAGAAACTAGACTCAGTCCCAAGCAGAGTGTTGGGGGCGTGGGGAAGGGCCGTAGCTTTTCAGGTTTCCCATTCAGACGTGAATTTGTGTGGATCATCTGGCTCGTGGTGTACTTCACATGCACTACGCCTTTCAAGTGTATGCGTGGATGCATTTTGATAAAGTTTACACCCTTGGGAACACTGCCACAACCAAGATACGGAACATTTTCATCATACCCCAAAATTGTTTGTGCTCCTCTACAGTCAGCAACCCCCAACCCCAACCCCAAGCTCCAGCCTCAGGTAATCAATGATCTGCTTTCTCTCATTTGTTTTGTTTTGTTAGGAGGGATTGAACCCAGGGGCACTTAACCACTGAACCCCATCCCCAGCCCTTTTACTTTTATATTGTATTTAGAGACAGGACTCACTGGGTAACTTAGGGCCTCACAAAGTTGCTGAGGCTGGCTTTGAACTCGCCATTCTCCTGACTCAGTCTCCTGAGCCACTGGGATTATAGGCATGCACCACTGCACCCAGCTTTTCTCTCATTTTTGATTAGTTTTATTTGTCCTAAAACTTTATAGAAATGGAACCATATTGCATATGTTATTTTATGTCTGGCTTCTTCACTCACATATACGCAGCTTCTATCAGTAGTGTGGTTTTTTTTATGGCTGGGTAGTATTCCATTTATGGATATACCAAAGACTGCTTATCAGATGAGAATTTAGAGGAAAGACATACTTTTGTCATCTCCCCTATAGCCTACCATGGGAGACTAACAGAGCCTCTAGTGATCTCAGGTTAGATATTCTCTCTAAATGAGGTTATCTAAATAGTTGGCGACTGGGAACTGCTGAGTAATTATGACCCCACAACCAGAGGACCCTCTAGAGCCATACCTGATGTATTGCCAGTGTGGAAAATGCAAAATATACTGCATACGGGCAACCCTGTCTTGGAATTTTTAAAATTTATCAATATACCTAGAGTTTCAAAAATTTGAAGTGACCTGCTGTCCTAACCAGGGGTACCCTGCCTGTAGTCATCCATCCTGGTATTTTGCCACCTTAGTTTCCCCAAGCTCATTCTTGTAACTCACCTACATTCGCCTGCTGCCTGTTCCCTCTGGTGCTGTCTTTCCCAGCGTCCGAGGGAGGCTGGTCCCCACCCTTGGCAATGCAACCACCCATATGAGATCTGTATCACCATGAGGATAATGGTTCCTTACATCCGGATAACATTTTTCCACTTTACAAAGCACTTTCACAACCATTATCTCAGCTGAGCCACAGCCTGTGATGGGAGCAGGGTGCTTGTTATCCTTATCTACAATTTGCAGATGAGAAACTGAGGCTCAAAGGAGGTCACCCACTTCTCCTGGATCATGCAGCCAGGAGCTGGGGGAGCTGGGCCAAGAGCTCTGGTTGGTCCTGTGGACTCTCTCCTGCAAGCACCGTTCTCTGGCATTCCTAAAGAGTACCAGCTATCCCTCAGGTGCCCACCCTTTATCATCACATCTGCTGAAGTCCAATGAGTTCAGCAGTATCATTTCCTGAGCTCTTGAAATATAAGAAACAGACTGTTGAGAAAGTGATAATAATACATAATAATAGATAACATTTGTAAGCATCAAGGCTGGGTCAGGTGCTATGCTAGATGCCTGTTAGAGATCTTTAATACCTCAACAGCCCACACATGGTAAGAATTATCATGCCTATTACACAGATGAGGAAACCGCCTCAGAGAAGCTAGCTTGTCCAAAGTGTCCTCCAGAAGTTTCTCCAGTCTTTCGTGGTTGCTGGGAACAGTTCACCATGCACAGGTTTTGACATGCTTTGGTTCAAATGCTGGCTGTACTGCCAGCTTGCTCTATGATCAGGAACTCTGGGCCTGTTGCCTGAAAAGTAGGAGGAGCAATCCTTTATTTAAGAGTGCTTTTCTGAGGATTAAATGTCAGGCCCAGCCAAGATTTGGCTGATGGGGACAGTGATCAGGCATCAAACGGAATCCAAGAAGGTGCCAGAGTCCATCAGGGCTGGAGGGGACAGGGGGGATGTCCGTCTGTCCAGCTATTTCATGAGAGGGCCATGCTTTGGTCTCAGTATTTACTCCTTTGGAGGCCTTGTTGGAGGGGTCTCTTGTCTGTCATTTTAGACTTCAGACAATTAAGGCCGGTTGGTCGCCATGGGCACGCCTGTAATCCCAGTGGCTGGGGAGGCTGAGACAGGAGGATCAGGAGTTCAAAGCTAGCCTCAGCAATAGCGAGGCACTAAGCAACTCAGTGAGACACTGTCTCTAAATAAAATACAAAATAAGGCTGGCTCAGTGGTTGAGTGCCCCTGAGTTCAACCCCTGGTACCAAAATAAAAAATAAAATTAAGGATAGCTTGCTTCAAGCTACTTGGGCATAACAAGGTGCTCTGTTGAAACCAGTTTATTATCTGCCTGCTTACTACACTTCAACACCTATCCTTCCTGTCTTTCTTCCTCTCCATCTTGGTATTTAGCGGAAGATTCTCCGTGGGTACAACTCCCCCTCTGTTGCTCCTGGCTGCAGGGTGAAAGGAACAGGAACATCATCGTGGGCAGTACTCTTAAGGTCACACCACGTCTGGTGGAATGTGCTGAACTTGAGAGTTTGAGATCCAACTCCAGAGAGCACTTTTGAAATGGAAATGCAGTCATCCAAACAGTGAGTGGTGAGCCACGCCCTGCACGGCCCAGCCCCAAGGCAGGGGACACTGTGTACAGAGCCCGTGAGCCAAAGGCCTTGCTGGCCAAGTTGAGGCAAGAGGTCCTCTGCCCCGGGAGCCCTGGCCTCTCTTGGGCGGAGTCCAGGGCTTCCAGTGGGAATCCTTTTGTGGTGATTGGGTAGGCACAGTTAGGATCAGAAAGGAAGATTGAATCTGTTATTGGACAAGCTGCCTGGCTTCCATCTATCCATCAACTAATTTATTCCAAACCATGTGCTCACCTCTGAGTATGGCCCTCGCTCCCAGTGTGGGCAGGGACCAGAGCAGACCTGGAGGAGCTCCCACCTAGCCATCCGGTCCGCCTGCCTGGGACAACTCCTTGCACCACGGCCTCCGCAGGATTTGGGTGAGGCTATTCATCCCTCCACGCTGCTGAGCCCTGGGGTAGTGATGACTGGCTGTGAAGTTGGGCCATGTCGCCAGCCCCTCTTCCAGGGCATCCTGGTCCTCTTTGAATCTTGAATAAGGACCAGCACGGTCTGGTGACACACAGACATAGAGGTGAACACGTGGAGTGCTGGACACTGAATGGTGTTCCCTCAAAATTCTTCAAAAAAATTTTTTTTAAAAATATTTTTATTTGTAGATGAATACAATACCTATATTTTTAAAATTTATTATTTATTTATTCATTCATTCATTCTAATTAGTTAAACATGACAGCAGAATGCATTTCAATTCATAGTACACATATAGAGCACAATTTTTCATGTCTCTGGTTCTACACAAATTACAGTCACACCATTCATGTCCTCATACATGTACTTAGGGTGATGATATCCATCTCATTCCACCGTCTTACCTACCCCCATGCTCCCTCCCATCCCCTCCCTCCCCTTTGCCCTATCTAGAGTTCTTCCATTCCTCCTCTGCTCCCCCCATCCCCATTATGGATCAGCATCCACTTATCAGAGAAAACATTCGGCCTTTGTTTTTTGGGATTGACTTACTTCACTTAGCATGATATTCTCCAACTGCATCCATTTACCTGCAAATGCCATGATTTTATTTTCTTTTAATGCCCAGTAATAGTCCATTGTGTATATATACCATAGTTTCTTTATCCATTCATCTATTGAAGGGCATCTAGGTTGGCTCCACAGTTTAGCTATTGTGAATTGTGCTTCTATAAACATTGATGTACCTGTGTCCCTGTCATATGCTGATTTTGTAGACCAAGGAGTGGGACAGCTGGGTCAAATGGTGGTTCCATTCCAAGTTTTCTAAGGAATCTCCATACTGCTTTCCAGATTGGTTGCACCAATTTGCAGTCCCACCAGCAGTGTAAGACTATGCCTTTTCCCCCACATCCTCACCAACACTTATTTTGTTATTAATTTATTTTTATGTGGTGCTGAGGATTGAACCCAGTTCCTCAAAATTCTTATGGTGGGCTGGGGTTGTAGCTCAGTGGTAGAGCGCTTGCCTCGTATGTGTGAGGCACTGGGTTCGATCCTCAGCACCACATAAAAATAAATGAATAAACAAAGATATATAAAAAAATTATTATGGTGAAGTCCTCACCCGCCCCCAAGGTGGTTGTGTTTGCAGGTGGGGCCTACAGGGAGATGATTGCAGTTAAAACAGCATTCATAGGGTGGAGCCTCTTCTGATAGGGCCGCTGCCTTAATAAGAACATGGGGATGTTAGAGTTCTCCCCTCCATGTGAGGACACAGCCAGAAGGCAGCCATCTGCAACTGGGAAGATGGCCCTCGCCAGGAACCCAGTCATACAGCACCTTGAGGTTGGCCTTCTAGCCTCCAGAACAGTGAGAAAATAAACTTCTGTTGTCGATGCCACTCAGTATGTGGGATTTTTTTCTCTTTTTCTTTCTTTCTTCTTCTTCTTTCTTTCTTTTTTTTTTTTGATATAGCTTTCCCCTATACTACCCAGGCGGACCTTGAATTTGCAATCCTCCTGCCTTAGCCTCCCAAGTAGCTGGGATTATAGGCCTGCGCCACTGTGCCTGGCGCAGTCTGATTTTGCTAAGGCAGTCTGAGGAGATCTAAGGCAGGGAATTATTCAAAAAGCTCTATTTTGTTCTATAAAAAAGAAACCCGAGGGGCTCCAGTGTTCCTGGGCCCCTGTTCTGCGTTTCTCCAATGAACTTTGTTCCCCCTGGTTTGCTGCCGTCAGTTTGAACTGGCCCACGTCCAGGCCCTCAGGCCCTTCTAGCTACCACTGTTGTCCTGGGCCTCTACTCAGCCATTCATTGCACACAAACTACTTTGATGTCACATTCAATAGACACTTTTTAGTCCCTGTCTGACTTTTTTCTTTTTCAATGCTAGGGATGGAACCCAGGGCCCTGTGCATGCTAAGTAAGTGCTCTCCAACTGAGCTACACACCCAACATTTTGTAAGATAAAAAAGAAAAATTGAAGACAGAGTCTTGCTAAGTTGCCCCGGCTGGGCTGGAACTGGCAATCCTCCTGCCTCAGGCTCCTGAGTAGTTGGGATTGCAGGTGTGAGCCATCATGCCCGGCAATTATTTTTTAAAAAATTCTTTCTCCTCCCTTGCATTTCTGGACCCTGGTCCCTTCTGTTTCTCTTCATTCCTTCCTGGCATCTCTTTTTCAGTCTTTAGCCACCATCTGCCACCCAGCTGCCCCACACAGAGTGTTGCTGTTAGCCAGGTCTTGCCTCTTTGTTCCTTGCTGGCTCCCTCCGAAATCTGTGGGTACAGCCCAGATTCCTTGCTGAACCCCTGACAGGGTGTCTCTCAAGCACATCATGTGGTGTGTCCATTAAATGGAGCCTGCTGTCTCCTGCTCTGCTCTCATTTCTGCTTCTTACTCTCATATGGACAGCCCGAAGAACTATGAGTATTTATTATTTCTATATGGCTTTTTTTTTATAAACATACAAAAGAGAAAAGATCAATGGATGCCCAGTGCCCTTTCTAAAGTTGCAGCAGAGAAGTGGACCCTTGTCTAGGAGAGCAGGGTATAGCAGATTTCTAGTGAAGTCTCTGTTATGGACGGTTTTTGGGAAGGGCTGGGGCAGGCTTGTGTGAGACATTGAAGTGTGGAACACTGCTTTGTTATGAGATGGGGCTGGACCAGAGATGGCACTTTGGTGACCACATCCAGCTCACAGATGCATTTTGTTTGGCCCATCTGAATTGTTCAAAATTGATTGATGGGTTGTCAACGTTAAAAAAAAACAAAAACAAAAATCTGGGTATTCCAGCCAGGCGCAGTGGTGCATAGCTGTAATCCCAGAAACTCCTGAGGCTGAGGCAAGAGAATTGCAAGTTCAAGACCAGCCTCAGCCCTCAGACTTAGCCTCAGCAACTTAGTAAGCAACTAAGCCCTAAGTAAGATCTTGTCTCAAAGATTGAGGATGTAACTCAGTGGTAAAGCACCCCTGTGTTCAATCCCCAGTACCAAAAAAAGCAGGGGCGGCCCTGGATATTCTAATATAAAAGATATATTTCTAGCATTTTAAAAAGTCAGGTTTAGCCATTCTAGGCCACAGCACAGCAGCAATATTTGGAGCTGGTTTACAGCTGCCCCATCAGAGGGACCATTCTCCAGTCTTCACCTGCCTGCTTTACTCTATGTAACCACCTGGGTCCTGGAAACATATGAATTTGTTATACCTGACCTAGATATTCTCCAGTTTTCATTTACCCTGTGATTTTTTTTTTAATTATCATATTTAGGTAGCAGAGAAATTTTCCTTGGGACTTTCTTGAGCTTCCCCTATATGACTCATCCTTCGGTGAGAAATTCTCTGACTACCTGCTGTCTGCCTCTCTCTCCACTCCCTTGTCCTGTTCCTATAATTCCTCGGTTCAGGTCTTGAGCTCTCTCAGAGGCTCATTCCATCTCCATTCTGTGTCTTTTTTTTTTTTTTTTTTAGTACCAGGAGATTAAATCCAGGGTGCTTGACCACTGAGCCCCCTCCCTAACCCTTTTTATTTTTTTATTTGAGACAGGGTCTCACCGAGTTGTTCAGGGCTTTGATAAATTGCTGAGGCTGGCTTTGAACTCCTGAGCCTCCTGCCTCAGCCTCCCGAGTTGCTAGGATTACAGGTGTGCGCCACCGTGCCCAGCATCCTCTGTCTCTTCAAAGCCCAGCCTTTGCAGGCATTTAGGTAAAAAGCATGTGTGCCTTTGCCTTTCCAATACTCTGTCAGTTTGCCTGATATTTATTTGCACGTTTATTTACTATTTGGTGGTACTGGGGATTGAACACAGAAGCATTCTACCACTGATCTACATCCCCAGACCTTTCTATTTTTTAAAAATATTTATTTTGGGGGGATACCATGTTACCAGCTATGGCCCCCTTCTCCCTTGTGGGAGAGGCCTATGTTACCCCCTTTTAAATAAACCCTGCTTCATATATATATATATATATTTTTTAAATTGTAGTTGGACACAATACCTTTATTTTATTTTTTTTGTTTTTATGTGGTGCTGAGGATTGAACCCAGGGCCTTGCATGTGCTAGGCAAGTGCTCTTTCACTGAGCCACAACCCCAGCCCTCTGTTTTTGAGATAGGATCTCACTAAATTGCTGAGGTTGGCCTCAAACTTGTTATCCTCTTGCTTCTATCTTCCTAGTTTCTGGGGTTACAATTCTGTTTTTCTGACCTTTATTATTATTACTATTAGTATTAGTAGTACTGGGGATTGAACTCAGGGGTGGCTTACCGCTGAGCCACATCCCCAGCCTTTTTATTTCTTATTTTGAGACAGGGTCTCACTGAATTGCCAAGGCTGACATCAAACTCTCCATCCTCCTGCCTCAGCCAGCTGAGCTGCTGGAGTTGCAGGCATGAGCTACTGCTCCGGCCTCTGCTTGACTTTTAGAATAAGATATCAGAAGATAGAGGAATAGATGGAGACGCTGAGGCAGGAGGATCACAAATTCAAGGCTACCCTAGGCAACTTAGCAAAACCTGTCTCAAAATTGAAAAAAAAAAAAAAATTAA